TTGGTGGTTTGAACCAAGAGGCAGCTCAGAAGAAAGGCCTGGTGATCTGCTTCTGAAAGATCACAGCCATTGAAAACGCTATGGAGCACAGTTCTACTCTGACACACGTGGGTTCACCATGAGTCAGTCGACTTAATGGCAACTGGTTACTGGTTAATAAGCCTTATGTAAAGTTATAGGATAGTGTGAATGTCATGCTTCCAAGTGCAGATGTAAAAACATCTGTCCTGTATCCAGTACAAAGCCAGAAATCATCATCTAGTTAAACAGGATGATTAAACTTTTTATAATTACTCAAAATTCTAGTAGGAGTCATTGTCGTTGTTAGTTGCTGTCGAGTTGATTCTGACTCATGGTGACCCCATGTGTGCGGGTAGAACTGTGCTCCATAGGGTTTTCAAGGCTGTGACCTTTCAGAAGCAGATCACCAGGCCTGTCTTTGGAAGCACCTCTGGCTGGGTTTTAACCGCCAACCTCTTGGCTAGTAGTAAGCGCTTAACTGTTTGTGCCACTCAACTAGGCAATGAAAAGTAAGTACAATATTAATAGCTATGACTTACTGAGAATATATATTATATCCTTTAATCCTTATACTAATCCCCTGGGACATACGGTTACCATGCAATTTTGCAGATGAGAGAACTGAGGTGTGGAGAGGGAAAAGAATTGTCCAAGGTGGTCAGAGTAAGTGGTGGAACAGGGATTTGAGCCCAGGAACTCTGATTCCAGAACTCAGGCTCTTAATCAAGGAGCCTAGGATCTTCTTGAAGGAAATGTTTTATATATGTAAAAACATTCACACACAATGCATGAAAACATTATGCTGAAGTGTGGTTCAAATTATAAACGCTATAGGAATTCAGTTTGAAGAGGAACCCCCAGTACTCGGGTGTGACTGTGCGGCAGGCATTGTACTGGGTGTTTCCATCCTTCCCGTTTAAGGAGAGGTAGCCCAGCATATGTAAAAGGGGAAGAGAGCGGGCTTTGGACTGGACAGGGTGGGTTAAAATCCTGGCACTGCTATTTACAAGCTGCGTAATCTCAGGTAAATTAACCTTTCTGATATAGTTTCCTCAGTTAAAATAGGAATTATAGCAACTAGCTTACAGAGTTGTTGTTGCTATCAGTTGCCATTGAGTTGATTCTGATTCATGGTGACCCTGTGTGTGTAGAGTAGAACTGCTCCATAGAGTTTTCAAGCCTGTGACCTTTCAGAAGCAGATTGCCAGGCCTTCTTCCAAGGCACCTCGGGGTAGGTTTGAATTGCCAACCTTCCAGCTAGTGGTCAAGTGCTTAATGTCTGCACCACCTCCTAGGGACTCCTTCTTATAGAGTCCAAAAAACAAAAAAACCCAACCAAACCCACTGCTGTTGAGTCGATTCTGACTTATAGTGACTCTATAGGACAGAGTAGAACTGCCTCATAGGGTTTCCAAGGAGGGGCTGGTGGACTCGAACTGCCGACTTTTTGGTTAGCAGCTGAGCTCTTAACCACTGTACCACCAGGGCTCCTCTTATAGAGTAGGGGGGTGATTTTTAGATAACATATGGAGAGTGCCTAACACAGCATATCCATTGTCTATTCATTCAACTCACCACCTGTCAGTTTGTTGTACTGTGGTGGCTAGTATGTTGCTGCGATGCTGGAAACCATGCCACTGGTATTTAGCTACCAGCAGGGTCACCCCTGGGTGGGCATGTTTTAGCAAAGCTTCCAGACTAAGACAGACTAAGAAGAAAGGCCTGTTGATCCACTTCCAAAGATCACAACAGAAGAGTGTCTGATTCACTTGCTTTGGATACGTCATTAGGAAGGATCAGTCGCTGGAGGACATCATGTGTGGTGAAGTAGAGGGCCAACAAGGGAAAGGGAGACCCTTGGTGAGCTGGGAAGGCACATTTGCTACAGTGATGGACTCAAAGAGGCCAGCAATCATGAGGATGATGCAGAACCAGGCAACGTTTTGTTCTGTTGTACATAAGGTTGCCAGAGTTGAAGTGGATTCGATGGCAGCCATCTACGTATCTATTCATTCAACAAATATTGATTCAACAAATATTAAGTCCTAGGCACTTGGGAACAACACTATCAACCAAAATAAGTTAGGTTATGCTTCTGGAACAAATGATGCCAAAATATCAGTGGCTTAACACCAAAAAAGTTTAATATTCATTCATACTCCTGTTCCAATGCAGGTTGGCCAAGGTTGTTCTGTCATCCTTACGTAGGGACCCAGGCATGGGAAAGCTCCATCTCTGTACTTCCATGACTGTCAAAACAGGAAAAAACAAACATAGTGATATACTCACTGGCTCTTAAAATTTTTCACCTGGTAGCAATACATATCACTTCTGCTCTCATTCCATTGGCCTAAGCAAGTCACATAGCCACATCTAACTTCAGGAGGACAGTGAATTCCCACCATGTCTCTGGTTGCAGAAGAACTAGAAAGTATTTGTTGCACAGTTTTAATTACCACTATCTGTTTACCTGTAAAATAGATCTTCTAATACATATTTTAAGAAGCCCTCATGGCACAATGGTTAAGCGCTCAGCTGCTAATTGAAGGGTTGGTGGTTTTAGCTCACCCAGTGGCTCCTCAGGAGAAAGGACCTGGTGACCTGCTCCTGTAAAGATTACAGCCTAGGAAACCCTATAAGGAAGTTCTACTCTGTCCTACAGAGTTGCTATGAGTTGAAATCCACTGGACAGCACCTAACAACAACAATCCATATTTTAAGAGGAGGAAACTGAAGTTCTGAGAGATTAATTCATTTGACCAAGGTCACATTGCTAACCCACTGGGACCCAGACTCAACCCATATGCCACTCACTCTGACACTTAAATATACATGCATGATGTCTGCAGACTCTGTATAAATGCAGAATATGGTTTGAGAATGGGGCAGTGATGCCCTGTAAAAGTGGTGGATAGAACAGGAATGGAATAAACATGGCCTTTTGCTTGTATTATGCAACAGCCAGTATGTGCCTGGGGAAGGCCGAAAGGGGCAAAGGGGTTTATGCCAGGCATCAGCCGAAGAAAAACCTGGACAGAGCTGGGTCGAGGCTTGTGTGCAGAGGAGGTGATGAAGGCAGTGTTTCAGCGCCTTGCTCTGGCAGCTGGATGAGGGTGCAGGGGGAGGCCAGGCTGTGCAGGAGTCCAGAGTAAGGTGATAAGGGGTAGACAGGAGTGAAGACAGCAAGAATGCAGAGGAAGAGATGAACCTGAGACTCTGTGGAGGAAGCTTGGCTGGCTCACTGGTTAAAAAGTAAAGAACCACCGAGGCGGCTTACAGACTGCATTATTCCTATCCCAGTCTGGTATACTGCATCATTTATTTAAACAAAACAAAACAAAACTCCTAAGGCCTCTTTTTATCTTGCTTTCTTCTTTAATTTTCCGTGCCTTTTCTTAGGCGAAGGGGCAGTCTTGCCATTGTCGGGGGTGCTTCTGACTGACTCTCAGCTTGTTCGGTCCGGTCGCTGTGACCAGCTCAGGCCTGGAAACCGAGGACCTGCCTGTCCAGAAAGAGGAAAAGCTCAGAAGGGCCAAGAGGCCTGCAAGTCGCCTCTTCCTCCTCAGAGGGATTGCTCGACAGACCGAGCCCAGATCCACCCAAGGTCCCTGGATTGCCCACCTTAGATGATGGCGGCCTTCGCGGGGGCGATGGGGACCTCTGCGAACCCAGTTCCCTCCCGGCGCCCCCATCTTTTCCACGCCCCCAACTTTCCCCCTCTCCCAGGCAGCAGTCCCGCCTGAGTCCAGGATGATGTCTGAGGGCCGGCAGTCGGCGGTGAGCCGCTGGTTCAGCCCCGAGGCCTCCCTTGTTTCCCAACTCCGCCCTTCTGCAAGGAAGGCGCGGGGCCTGGGCCCCAACACCCTTCTTGGAGTTCTTGGGGCGCAGTAGCCCCCGGCGGGCGCAGCCCTCCCCCAGCCGGCGGTAGGGGCCTGCGAAGCGGGGGTGCTAGCTTTAGCGGGGCGGGAGGGGTGCGCGCTGCGACGGGTGCTGGGCCGTGACTCACCGCCTGTAACCCAACACCGCCCTCACTCCCCTCCCCCAACCCCCCTCCGGCCTGGCGGCCGCGGCGACACCTCAGAAAAATGAAGGGCCGCCCGGGTCCGTGGCGCCCCCGACCGCATCGCAAGCGGGCCCCGGCGGCCCTCGGCTCCGTGCCTTCTCGCTTCACCGACCCCGGGGCTCGGCGAGCCGCCGCCGCCG